AGAGGCGGACTGCTATCATGAACTCTGTTAACTCAATGCATTTCTCGATATTTAGTCATACAACTGCCAACAAGGTAACATGCCCCCAAGGCTGACTAAAATTTCATATATATGCCTACCTTTGGGTAGAAAATATGTACTTATTCATTAATGAGATCAATTTTACAATGACACGAATATTCTTACTTATTTTTATGAATTTTTCAAGAAAATAAAATCAATAATCTTATTTAAAAGATTTAAACGGGCAACAGTTCCATTTAAATCAATACCATTTGTGGCACAATTAATTTCACTACCATTTTTCACAATTTATTTATTAACATAATTTTCACTTTTCTGCAAAAGATTCTCATATCAACCATCAAATTTTCCTTGAAAAGAAAATACATATATAAGAAGATGTAGTCATATCACATGCATTTATTGGGGTTGTTGAAAATAAAAAATCCAACCCACTACATAACATAAACTCTCACGCACACATTATGATAATGTAAAATGATCAATCACTTAATGTCAATTGCATTTATGTATGTATGTGTTTGAATGTAAATGAATAACCGAAAAGGACAAAAAGTAATAAACAAAATAATAAGGACGAAAAAAAAAGAGCATTCGTTTTGGTGAATGTGTATGCGATTTATATTAAAAATATATACGTGACTACAACACAAATGAGTTCATTAAGTAAATAATCATAACAATGAATCACGGATGAGATAGTGAATTAATGAATGAAAATACAAAAGTGCACAAATACACATGTTTAAATATAAAGTTATTTTATGTTAAAAAAAAAAACAACAACAAATTATGAATAAAAATAAAACCTTAAACCAAAATATAACTGAAATATATATAATTCATTAAAATTTCAGTTTTAAGGTTTTTTTCATGGTGTGGTTGAACAACATTTGTCTTTTGAATCATTTAAATTACAGATTTTTTTAAACACCACAATTTATTTTATACTGGTCTGTAGTTTTTCTTTATTTCTTTCTTTTTTTGTAGAGAAACACAACAATAAATATAATATAACAATAGAGGAAATAATAAAAGACACAAAAATAATTCAAAAGAACAAATTAGGAAGCACAAACCATGAAATGTAACACTGAATACACAGCAGCCACATTGAAAAGGGACACAAATTGTTAGTGTGAAAAAAGTGGAAACCCACATAAAAATATAGTTTAGCATATAAAACAAGTGGCAGAGAGATGTAACAGTGTTGGGAGTTGTTATGTTTACAATGCAAAATTGTACTAAAAAGAGAATTTTTAATGCCAGTCACCACTATCAGTGGTGATAGAGGGTATTAGTGTATATGTTTTTATACCCACCATTAACTTTCAACTTTACTGGTGGAGTACCATTAAATACTCAAATTTTTCTTTAGTCTTTAAAGGTTTCCAGCTTCCTATATGAATATATAGGTCGACTTGGAAGATTTCCTTTAAACCAACGTGGGATATCGTGGCGTTTTGCTTAAGAGCTCAGCCATCAAACTAAGTAATCAAAAAAAAAAAAAAAATAATAATAATAATAATTGATAATAATAAGGTCTATTGATATAGTTTGTTTGGTATTGAAAATATACAAAATCGGTCCACATTTTCGCATAATCCCCATACAAGTGGTACCCCGGAAAACAGTTTTAACAGTCATAAATGGTTTAAAAATACCAGTATAAAGATTAAATTCTGCATAAATAAGTCTTATGTAAACGTAAATCCCTTAACCAAATTTTATGAGGATCGGTTCATAATTGTCCATATCCCCCATATAAGGTCGCCTTCAGAAAATGTCTTTAACCCTCATTACTGGCACAGAAATGCGAGTACAGCGATGAAATTCGATATAAACAAGTTTTGTATGAGCTAAAATCTATCTATTAACTTCTGTGACGATCGGTCCATAATTGACCCTACTCCCCATATTAGGTACCCTTCAGAAAATTACTTTAACGCTTATTACTGGCTTGGAAATATGAATACAGCGATGAAATTCGACATAAACAAGTTTTATATGGGCCAAAATGTCTTTACAAACTTTTGCGAGGATCGGTCTATATTTTACCCTATCCCCGTATAAATTCCCCTTCAGTTAGTGGTCGAATATAACACTCTTACTTGTTCATTGTGTCATTCATTGTTTTTATGAAACACTTCATGGTCTTTATGAAATTCAGATTATATTCAGCTATGTCCGTCTGTCTGTATAAAATATGTTTATTATAAAACAAATCAATGAAATGTACCCAAAATGTAATAGTTTTTTTTTTTTTTGAAAATGGTTGAACTAGCTGATATGAACCAGTTTTCTGAATTTATTTATTTTTCTATTATTTAGAAAAAACTTTGAAAAGATTCTCTGAATGATATGTATAAACATATTGTGTATGTTTTGCTTACACATCGAACATATTGTTCGATGCGAGAAAATTTGAATAGATTTTCAGAACTATGGTCAATTACGAACCGTTCTAAAGGGTCTATGAACAATAAGTTCATTTTCCGGGATCATGTAAATCTGTATGGGAGCACATATCTGAGGTCTACTAAATACACTCCATTTTTTATGAAAACACATCTTAATATTTATACCCTACACCACTAAAGTTGGGAGGGCATTATGCGTTTGTGCTAATGTATGTAACTCACAAAAATATTGGTCCTACAATCACCTTATACCAATTGGCTCAGAATCACTTTCTGGGTCGATTTAGCTATGTCCGTCCGACAGGCTGTCTGTCCGTCTGCGTGTCCATGTAAACCTTGTACGCACGGTATAGGTTACAATTTTCAAAAAACGACGGCCGATCATTACAAAAACTGGAATTGTCATTTAAGCCTATATAAGTAAAACTTGTGGAGAGATAGTAGTATATTTATCGTACATAGTTATGAGTTAAACACCCCTAATTGGAAGGTCAGGTTGTATCGGCTAGGTGATAAAATGGACCGATTTCAAAATTGTGAAAATTGTGGCCTGTAGCTTGCGTATGTGCGCAAGAAAGCACAGGTCACTGGACAGCTAGCCAGCCGGACAGACGGACGGTCATGTCCTAATTGACAATTATCAATCTGAGTCGGTCGGTATACTTTCAAGTGGTTGGTTCTACATCCATAAAACATCAGCACAAACGCATAATATACTCCGTTGTTGAATTCGGCTGATATCGTTGGCTTAGTTTTAACATGAGCGTCTTTTTGGCAGACAGACAGACAGATATAGCTAAATCGACTCAGTAACTATACTGCCCCTCTGAACAATGCATCGTATGATGTACAATAGAGTCTAAATGACAGAAAGTAGGTTAATGAATGAGAGAGAGAGCAACTGTGCCGCAAATATCATCACTGATGTAGAGTACAATAAAACCTAAAAAATAATTAAAACAAAAAATTTAAATGAAGAAAAGAATGCGAAAAAATTTAAACCAAAATTATGTAAAAAAAATCACATTTATTATTTCCGTTGTGGAAACAGTGGATAGACAAGGTGCAACACCGTAGAGAGTCTTTCTGTTGGCAATCCATTTGGGTACATTTCATTGGTTTTCATTGTGTTACTCTTAGAATAGTTATTCTAAAAGAAGATGTTTAAATAACATATTTCTACAATTAGGATTTACTTTAGAGATCATCATATACAGAAGCCTATCAAGGTGAGTTTATGTAGTTTCTAACTCAACATTGGTTTGAGAATAATTAATAAATCAATGTCTATAGATATATTTTTCCTTATTAATATAACAAGTTATGTACATAATGCTACTTTAAAAAACCTCTAAATGAATATAGGTTTTACATACAACTTTCTATTTAAAACATTATCATACTATACCCTACTTATTCAAGTATTAGAAAATTAGTTATACATACATACATCTTCTAAATAGTTGTAGTATTATTAACTACATTTTTTTTTAAATATTCACGTATCTAGCGTAACATTGCCTTTTTCCTTTACAAGAGAGTCGACATATAAATTCATATACGCAGAAAAAAGAAGAAAGAAAATCCACAAACAAATGAATAAAAATGCTTGAAAAAAGAAATAACATCATAGAAAAATATTTAATGTTGTAGTCTTCATGCTCTTGTAGTCATAATATGATACAAAACTAGTTCAACCATATTTATGTGCTTGTATGAGGAGGGCATGAATTCGAAGGCAGTTTTTAATGGTATTTTGAAATTGAAAGAACAATTTCTATAAACCACAATTTAAACAATTTCGTACTAATAGAAAAATATGAATAACGTTAAAATATTAGTCCTTCGAAAAGTATGTTTTCAATCAAGCAAAATAAATTTCTATCCTGCCCTCATATGTTTGTATAAGTATAAAGTTTTCATAATATTTAAGTTTGCCAGTGTATAGCCAAGAAGGTCCTTGTGGCAACTGATATTGTATACGTGCAATGCATGCATTTATTAGATATTTTTACATACATACATACTCTCCACAATGTATGTAAGTATAAGTTATATAGTATTTTATGTAGTACACGAGGAGTATGAGTTCAAATACATACAAAATTATTTGTCCAAAATAAACATTTTTTATATGTATTCATGTTTGTTACCACACTTATCTGTATTTGTATTTTGTCTTTAACTCTGTTGTATTGTTTTGCGGGTGTATTACAAATCCCTTTTTCATAATCATAACTCGTACGCAGTGGAGGGCACAAACCCAAATACAGAAACAAAGTACGAAATAAATAAGACTTTTCCACTTTGTTTACTGTATGATACAATATAAATCATGGCGAACTTTAGATAGGATATGTTACTGGAAAATGTTAACAAGATTTAAAAGTAACAACTACACAGATATTTTTTAACATAATAAAAATTATTTATAGCATTTATTTTAAATGCCAAATAAAAACTTACCTAAATGGAAAATAACTAATGAGTTATTAAATGGAAATCTGTGGTTTATATATTTCTCCTGAAAATATCCAAAATAATTTAACTTTATCATAAATTTTAATAATTAATTGTCGTTGCTTTGCCTGACAACACCATAATTGTGTATTCATCAATAAAACCAATATTATGTTTTTATACAATTTGCTCATAAATTTCGTAAATTAATTATTTGTTTTATCAAACAACTTAATAAGTTATAAATTTTATGCACACTCATAGAAATATAAATATTTGTATGTTAGTATTTATAAACATATTATAATTATAGAAGAGAAAACACATTTTTACATAAGTAATTAAACCACATATCAATTACATGTTGAAAAAGCTTGTGCTCATGAAACGTATAAAACTCATAATAACATCAACTATGCGCCTTAAAAGACGCATAAACAAATTTCATGCCGATTCTATGACTCTTTCAGTTGATGAAAAATCTAGAGTAGACTGATCATCTGCGGTAGTAGATGAGGCTTCTGCAATTTGATCGTCATCGGTGGTGGCTTCAAGAATATTAGGGCAATCAGTTTGAGTTGATTTTATGAGGAATGTCTCGGACAGTTTATTTTCTTGAATGACGCGTTTAGCAGCTGAAATGGCTTCCTCTGTGGGCTGACGTTGACGAGTTAAGATCCAAAGTAATTCTGGAAACAGTCAAAATTAATTTATTGATTTAATAGTAATAAATATAAAAGAACCGGTTAACATAAAAATTGTATATTCAAATTAAGTAGTTGTATAATATTAATGACTAGACAGTTTTACGAAACACAGTGGTGTTAGAGTAACAAAAAAAGAATCAATAGTGAACTGAGTATTTCTTAGGATGTTATCTATTTAACTAACTAACTAACTAACTAACTAACTAACTAACTAACTAACTAACTAACTAACTAACTAACTACTAACTAACTAACTAACTACTAACTAACTAACTAACTAACTAACTAACTAACTAACTAACTAACTAACTAACTAACTAACTAACTAACTAACTAACTAACTAACTAACTAACTAACTAACTAACTAACTAACTAACTACTAACTAACTAACTAACTAACTAACTAACTACTAACTAACTAACTAACTAACTAACTAACTAACTAACTAACTAACTAACTAACTAACTAACTAACTAACTAACTAACTAACTAACTAACTAACTACTAACTAACTAACTAACTAACTAACTAACTAACTAACTAACTAACTAACTAACTAACTAACTAACTAACTACTAACTAACTAACTAACTAACTAACTAACTAACTAACTAACTAACTAACTAACTAACTAACTAACTAACTAACTAACTAACTAACTAACTAACTAACTAACTAACTAACTAACTAACTAACTAACTAACTAACTAACTAACTAACTAACTAACTAACTAACTAACTAACTAACTAACTAACTAACTAACTAACTAACTAACTAACTAACTAACTAACTAACTAACTAACTAACTAACTAACTAACTAACTAACTAACTAACTAACTAACTAACTAACTAACTAACTAACTAACTAACTAACTAACTAACTAACTAACTAACTAACTAACTAACTAACTAACTAACTAACTAACTAACTAACTAACTAACTAACTAACTAACTAACTAACTAACTAACTAACTAACTAACTAACTAACTAACTAACTAACTAACTAACTAACTAACTAACTAACTAACTAACTAACTAACTAACTAACTAACTAACTAACTAACTAACTACTAACTAACTAACTAACTAACTAACTAACTAACTAACTAACTAACTAACTAACTAACTAACTAACTAACTAACTAACTAACTAACTAACTAACTAACTAACTAACTAACTAACTACTAACTAACTAACTAACTAACTAACTAACTAACTAACTAACTAACTAACTAACTAACTAACTAACTAACTAACTTACTAACTTACTACTTCCGTGTTGGCCTTACTACACGGTTACACTTTCGCAACCACAGGATGAGCTTGTTAGACGTAGTATACAATTTTTGTTATTTTATCGGTCCATATCCAAGCACTTTGCTCAACTACTCGTTTACAACTGTTGATTCGGTATCAATACGTAGAGACGTAATCGTTAGGCAGAAATATGAATCTATCAAATAAGTCTTATTCTTACTCACGGAGAACACACCATGGAAAATCTGGTATGAATAGAGTAAACTCTGACATAGAAAGAAAATTCTATGATATCATTTGTAGATATATTCCAGCACACTTCTCATTCATCTGGGATATTAATGTGGAATAACATTCCACGCATTCAATCCAGGTATACGAGTGGGTGAGACCCATATATTCATTCATCCATTCTGTATAATATACACTTTGCACCACCTCATTTCCAACTCTTAGTCTCACAGTCACTTCTCTGTTTGGTATATGTGCTGAGTCGGGACACAGCCCTGAACTTATACCGAAGAGAATGTTGGATAAAGTGCACTGCTATCACGTGCACCCCGAAGATACCTCTCTATTAATCAAAACTCTGCCCTGTAGGCTACAGTGCACCCTAAAACGACCTCTCTAATAATAACTACCGGTTCCCGTCGTACCAATGTATTAGGCTTCTAAGTCAAATCTTTGGAAGGAAAGGCCGTTTATACATGTGCATACATACAACACCACCAGTTTATAGCCTCGGCAGTCTAGCGGTGTTGGTAGCTACTCTTTTCCCCGGATTGCAATAAGACCAAAATAGGGAAGTTCATCAAGATAACATGGTGGGATGAAAACATTGCTACAACTTTCTTCTAAATAGTTTACAACAGGTATTGTCTGCTTGGCCGAGCTTCACATACTATCCTAAGTTTCCGTTAATACCAATTTATCTCTTTTTTCATCGTGAGTTATGATACAGTGCAAAAATTATTTCCTTTCAGGCTGCAATTACGCAAAATACAAAATCGTCTTTTGTCTTTAGTATTTGTGGTACCCTATTTCTATAATTTTGAATGAATCTATATTCGCAAACATCTGGAAAATGCTACTTGAGTAGTAGTAGTAGGTAGTAATAGTAGTAGTATATCATACATGTCTTTAGTAAAGAAGAGCGTGAGCTATATATTTGCTCTCCACTTTTTCATAAAAACCTAGTTTTTGTTTTTTAGTGTTTGTTTTTATATTTTTAATACTTGCCATTAGATAACATTAAAGCCCCTCTTTAAAGATTGTTTGCTTTGTGAAACATTAAAGTGAGTTTAAAAATAGAATATGTATTTGCTTAAATCGAACTGATAATAAATATGAATGAAAATATTCATATTTTAATTTCAACACACAATTGAAGTAACCTCTACCACTGTCTATTCATTAACTAATTAATTATATTAAGCTTAAAACAATTATAGATTTTATATACTCCTATTAAATACAGCAGCAAAGGGAGGGGAAGTAGAATAAACATTCATAAAATATATAGCAAAAGCACACCACAATTGTTTTGTGGACATAAAAAAGTTGTTCTAATTGTTTTTTGCGGTTGGCATAATTAATTACTTAAAATCATTATAATTTATTGCAATTGAGTGAAGAGAGATGAAATTAAATTAAATCAAATCAAATGAATGATAAGGAAATAAATTATATTTTATAGACATAAAATTGCATTTGTAATGAATACTAAACTTTATGAATAATTTAATTTTAATGATTATATTTAATAGTTTTTATTGTATATACTTACTGGCATGACCATATGAACTGATATTTTTACAGCTGTAGACAACAACCCAGTTATCATAGTCTGTTCCTAATACCAAATAATTGGGGGTATCAACTTGTTCTAAGAAAATGTAATAAAAAAAAAAATAAATAAAATTTATAATATCAATAATTCAAAGGGAAATACTAACGATTTCTAAATTCTACTGCCAATTGTCCGGGACCCAAAACTTTGGCACTTCCTACAGCACTATTAGGTTTATTGATTCTAAAATTTAGTTAATAACTATTTAGTTAAGTTAGTTTATAATAAGTTATAACTTACATTACATAAACTCCTGTATTAACCACTGATATGGTGGAGTTTCCCTCATCTTTATAAACTGCCTGTTGGCACTTTTGTCCCACCTCAAATATAAAGGGATACTTCGAATATTCATACCAGGTGCCCATGTACTGTTATATATAAAAAAATGTAATATTACTAGTGATTTTAGTAAATTTTATACCTAACTTACCCTTTCCAAATCGAACGTTTCTACTATTTTAACTTCAGGACAGCTATTAGGGAAAGGAACTTGACATCTGGCAAAATGAATGCAGCCAAAAAGTAGCACCAGAAAAATACTAAAATAAAGAAAATTACAAAATGGCAATGTAAACATATTGTATTAATTAGGAATTATAAAGTAGTGATTTTCAAAAGGTCTTAGTTCTATAACGGATAGAGCTTCGCGGTTTTTGAAACAAGATTTCATTTTACACTCACAACACAAATACTAAAATACACGCTATTTGATCATATTTATCTAATGAGCTCAGTCTTCTTTAAATTTCTCTAAACCTGTTCTATCTTAGCCATATAGTCAATGTAGACGGGGGTGAAATCTATGAATTAAATATCGCAAAATCAATCCATTGATATCAGCAGTATTGGCTACAAGGTCATAAATATGTTCCTTTACATAAAATATTTTAATGAGTGACACACCAATAATTCAGAAACTCTGTCTATAGGACGTAAGTCTTTAGAATTTTCCAATCGATGTTCCTAAGGGATGTTATATCCAGTAAAACGCGATGCTTACCAAGGTGTTTGAATTTAATTTATACAAAGCTTTAGCAATGGCAGATGAAATGTTTTAGTGTTTCCCTATATACACCACATGATCTTATTTGTGTGGTCCTACACAGAGAAAAAAAAAATATATACGCCTGGTACCAAATTGATACCAAATTTTTCAATAACATCCGTTGTCAAGTATATACATACATACAAAAACAACATGTAATGTAGACTTCGCAACTTTGTCAACATTGCAACAATTCGTTGTCGCAAACTAAACGTTATGCACATACGTTGTCTAAAAGTTAACAAACGTGGTAAACTCAAATTGCGTTGTAAGTAGTGAGCTTACCACGTTTGTTAACAGTTAGATAACGGATGTGCATAAAGTTTAGATTGCAACAACGAAAAAGTTGCGTGGTCTACATTACATGTTGTTGTATGTATGTATGTACTTGACAGCGGATGTTATTGAAAGATTTGATGTCAATTTGGTACCAGGCGTGTATATATTTTTTCCCCCTGTGTACCAACCCATCATTATTCCATCTTGTCAAGTGGTATTCTCTTGACCTGACCTTAAATTCAGCTTCTTTTGCTTCGATCTGTTTTACATTTGACAAGAGGCCGAAGTGCCCCTGTCATGTTGGTCTTATTTCACGGAGGTACTTATTCAACCACAGAGTGAGCTGACTATACGACTCTCCACCAGCCGTTGTGCTTCTTATACGCCGGTGGCCATTTTTGTACATGGTTCTGCCCATCTGCGGTTCCCGTGGTACCAGATTATGTAGTTCCGTGTTACGAAAACATTCCAAGAAAAGGGCGAGGATATGTTTTATTATTACCAATTTATAGTCCCGGCAGACTAGTGGTACTGTTAGTACTTATTTTTGCCGGGATTGCAATAACACCAAGATAAGGGTCTTTCATCATGTACCCAAGATTACTGAGAAAAGTCGCTATAAGAAATCTATGTGGTATTTTATCAACATCTAGGTTAACCCAAGGATGCCGTGTGTCTCTAAGTAGTATAGCGTGACAATCTAGGATAGTTCCTGTATATGTCTCTGTACATAATAACTGTCAGTGTAGCTATATAGCCTACGAACTAGCCAGAACTGGCACTATGAGAGATGATAATGAATTGGTTCAAATCAAATGGTTTAGCATAACCATCGGGGTTTACCAAGCTTCTGTAAGATTGCCCTAGGTCATGCTGACTGTTAAGCTTAAGTAGTGATCACATAAGAATGAATGAATGTCATAAGAAATGGGAAAAAGAGACTCTATCTCATCTACTCTTTTATTGTCCGACATTTATTGAGAGTTTGGGTTCTTCTGTTCTTCCATAGACATGGAGGAACTGTATAGGGTAAATCTTAAAGACATATTAAATTTCATAAATGGAACCGGTTGGTTTACTTATTGAAGTTGTGGGTCATACTATGAAGACTTCTACTACCACTAGAGTATTACAATAGAATAAAAAATTATATATATATATATCGAAGTTAGCTGCTTATGAGTGGCTGCCATTTGAATCTAACCTTGGGCTATTATTCCTTTAGGAAAAAACAATATAGTTATCGAACGGACTTACATCGTTAAAGCGACTGATATAAAGAGTTCACATTTTAATACCCTACACCACTATAGTGAGTATACCAATCGGCTTAGAATAACTTTCTGGGTTAATTTATCTATGTCCGTCTGTCTGTCTGTCCTTCCGTCCTTCTGTGTGTCCATATAAACAGATCGCAGTTTTCAAGATACTTTAATGAAATTTGGCACATACTACTCTTTTGACTCAAGGATGAAGCCTATTGAAAATGGAATAAATTGATCAATTATTTCGCATAGCCCCAATACAACCGTACTCCCGAATAGGGGTTTTAAGCTCATAAATATGTTAAATGTTCTTGAATCACTCCAAAAATCGGCAAGTCTTAATGATACCGCAGATTTTCATAATGATGGGGCCTCATTTGACGCTATCGCCCATATAAAATCTCTTTCAGAAAATGACTTGATGGTCAAAATTTACTTATAAACATAAATATTACGGCGATATTCTGCATAAATAATTTTAATGTAGACAAAAATCCCTCTACCAAAATTTTTTTTTTCAACTTTTTTTCTCAAAAAGTGGTCTTTAAACCATTACAGAAAAGGTAATTTTTCATAAATAAATTTTCCAGCACTTTAAAAATGTCAATCTATACATTAATGTAATTTACAAAAATACATTTTGTTTGGACACATGTCGTCTACACCTGGCATTTATTTAAATTATTATTAACTCACCTCATCTCAATCCTCATTGTTGTAAACAACAACTGTCTGTTCACGATAATATCTATTTGATGAATATGTATGAAGTGGTATTTTCAATAGAATTTATTTTCAATTATATAACTAACAAACTTGTTTTTTTTTAATTTAATTACAAAAATATTGTTATAATTAAGATGATTTGACTTGATAAATTTATTTCAGAGAATTATTTTAAACACTGTAAAGTTTAATTTTTATTTTGACATAAATCCAACTTTAAATACGAGTTGGTTTAATTATAGTTTTTACGAAATATTTAACACTTTGAAATTATTTTAAATTTTCCGTTAATTATTTATTTTAACAGCTTGATTTGTTCTAGTTGTCACTGCATTTTTGCTACTGAAACAATTTAAATGATTACTCTCCCACTTTATAGGCAACAGATGCAAAAATGCATTTCATTGTTTTGCTTTTTTCCACATTTTTTTGTGTTTAACAATAAAAACATAAAAAGACAGGAAAGTATAACAAAAAAAGTTTTATTTTTTTTTTATTTATTTATTATATGTATGTATAAGGGCCTAGATTTGTTTAATTTATAAAGTGTAATAATCATTTTGTGTTGCTTTTTGATTTCATTTCAAATTATTATCAATTTTCACTTTTTTTCTATTATATAGTTTTTTGTTTACACTTTGTTTGAATTATGAATTGTCTCGTGTGCGTTTTGTTTAGACTACAGTGAAATTTTGTTTCAAAAGATTATTTGAAATTTGATAAGCAACGTACGGAAGCTCTCTTCAAATACATAAGTATAAACAATTAAATTTATATTAATACTAGCATACCCTGGGTGCTTCGCTACCCTAACCAAAATTAAATACATACAAAATTTTGTTTACTTTTACAGAAAATTATAATTGATTAAAATTTTTTTTAATGTTTCAGTTTTTTACGTTCAATATCACATGAATAAATTCGCATTCAGGAAGGAACTTGTATTTTTAGTTTCGTTCGCTTAGCTTCCCCATTATAGAAAATTTCGAAAGTACTATTTGAAAAAAAGTATTATAAAATACCTCTTATAGATTTTCATTTAATCAAAAATTTTATGTTTCTCTGTTCAATATTATAGACAATTCAAAAAATATAATTTGATGAATGCAAAAGTACCAAAACTCCCTTTCAGTAGATTAGATTTCAGAAAATTTTAAATGTAGGGACCTTAGTGAATGGTCCTTACATTTTAAATTTTATATTTTTATGTTCAATATCGTAAAAATATAAAAGTACAATCGCAGAAACGAAAGAGTACAAAAATCTCTCTAAGTAAATTCTCATTTAATAAGGACCGTATGTCATGTGTTCCGGTTAACCATTATAGAGACTCCAAAAGGTACCATTTGAAGGATGGAAAAGTACCAAAGAGTGCCCACTTACAGAATATTATTCAGTCAAGACCATGTATGTTAAGATTTATGTTCCTAGGTTGAATATTTTAGAAAATTCAAAAAGTACCATTTATGAGATAAAAAGTACTAAAAAGTTCTCCTTTAAAGAATCTTATTCAATGAGGACCGTGTATGTTTAATAATCATGTGTTTTGAATTCATATTATAAAACATACAGAGTATCATTTGAAGAAAGAAAATGTAACAAAAGTGGAATAAATTCTACCTTAGTAGAAAGTACTAATAAAAATAGTACAATTTTTCTCCTTTAAGCTTAGAAATATACTTTTTTGAGAATTAAGTTTACAAAATGTTCCGTTTTTAAATCTATATATCACAGATAAAACTCAAACGATTCAAATCTGCATTCACTTGTTCCAGAAAAATTGTGCTTTCAAAAAGGTACCAAACAATTTACTCGAATTTGGTCCTATATAGGCCTTAGTACTCGAATTCCAAAATAATATACCAATAGCATATTTTGTGTGAGTAAATAAACTACTTTTTCAAATTTTATAAAAATTGGCTCAATGAGTTTGAATAAAATTAAATTTCCCGTTTTTCTCCTTTTTGGTACTTTTTTTCCCCAGTGAAATAGCAAACGTATTGTTTCAATAAATATTACAGAGTTAGTCCGTAATTTAATAGGAATACTTCAATAAATCGAAGAGGAATACTTCAATAAATCGGAGATATATTCACAATATTTTCAAAAATGTTATTTTGTTTATTAGTTAAGTTATAAAAGTTATAAAGTTATAAAGGGCCAAAAAAGGTACCAAAATCACCTTTGTTACACATTTTCACCCCTCAAAAGTACGAATTTCAAAAAGTAGCATCCGTCTGCTTATTTTAAGAGTAGAAACATGTGCATTTCAAATTTTTCTTGTATCACTAATATTAGGTAAGATAATTAGGAAAACTTGTTTTACCCGTTTTTTCCCTTTTCCTAAATTTACAAATTTCCAAAAATCCCTCCTTAGTGGATCTATCTAACCAAAAACACATCTACTGTCAAAATTTCATGATTCTAGGTTCAGCCGTTTGGGCTGTGCGATGACGAATCAGTCAGTCAGTCAGTAACGCTACTATTTTATATACATATGTATATAGATTAAAAAAATTAAATTTAATATTATGGTAAATAAGAAATTTACTTTACATTTAAACTCATGTTAATTAATAAATTATTTAGCACGATAATATATGTTTTGTTAAAAATAAATGTAAACAAATTTCACTGTATTTATTTATAATTTACATTGTAGAATGACTTTTTTTGATAATTTGGTGTTATAACTATTTCTATAAACTTGTTATTTAGAAACTTTGTAGGTATTTAAATTAGATTTTTTTACATTCATTATATAATAATTTTATTAAGCTTTAAGGCAAAAACAAATTTGATTTATTTGAAATCTGTTTTTGATGAAATTTTGTCAGTTGAATAAACTCATTTGATTACGCATATAATTTTAAATTTGTTTAAATTAAGTTTTAAATAATTTATAGTAATGTCAATCGGTAAAAGTTGAACAAAAAACGGTTTACAAGTAATTTTATTACAAAATAAGAAAACAAGTGTAGTCTAGTCTATAGTCTAGTCTATAGTCTAGTCTATAGTCTAGTCTATAGTCTAGTCTATAGTCTAGTCTATAGTCTAGTCTATAGTCTAGTCTATAGTCTAGTCTATAGTCTAGTCTATAGTCTAGTCTATAGTCTAGTCTATAGTCTAGTCTATAGTCTAGTCTATAGTCTAGTCTATAGTCTAGTCTATAGTCTAGTCTATAGTCTAGTCTATAGTCTAGTCTATAGTCTAGTCTATAGTCTAGTCTATAGTCTAGTCTATAGTCTAGTCTATAGTCTATAGTCTAGTCTATAGTCTAGTCTATAGTCTAGTCTATAGTCTAGTCTATAGTGTAGTCTATAGTCTAGTCTATAGTGTAGTCTATAGTCTAGTCTATAGTCTAGTCTATAGTCTAGTCTATAGTCTAGTCTATAGTCTAGTCTATAGTCTAGTCTATAGTCTAGTCTATAGTCTAGTCTATAGTCTAGTCTATAGTCTAGTCTATAGTCTAGTCTATAGTCTAGTCTATAGTCTAGTCTATAGTCTAGTCTATAGTCTAGTCTATAGTCTAGTCTATAGTCTAGTCTATAGTCTAGTCTATAGTCTAGTCTATAGTCTAGTCTATAGTCTAGTCTATAGTCTAGTCTATAGTCTAGTCTATAGTCTAGTCTATAGTCTAGTCTATAGTCTAGTCTATAGTCTAGTCTATAGTCTAGTCTATAGTCTAGTCTATAGTCTAGTCTATAGTCTAGTCTATAATCCAGTCTATAGTCTAGTCTAGTCTATAGTCTAGTCTAGTCTATAGTCTAGTCTAGTCTATAGTCTAGTCTATAGTCTAGTCTATAGTCTAGTCTATAGTCTAGTCTATAGTCTAGTCTATAGTCTAGTCTATAGTCTAGTCTATAGTCTAGTCTATAGTCTAGTCTAGTAGTCTAGTCTAGTCTTAGTCTAGTCTATAGTCTAGTCTATAGTCTAGTCTATAGTCTAGTCTATAGTCTAGTCTATAGTCTAGTCTATAGTCTAGTCTATAGTCTAGTCTATAGTCTAGTCTATAGTCTAGTCTATAGTCTAGTCTATAGTCTAGTCTATAGTCTAGTCTATAGTCTAGTCTATAGTCTAGTCTATAGTCTAGTCTATAGTCTAGTCTATAGTCTAGTCTATAGTCTAGTCTATAGTCTAGTCTATAGTCTAGTCTATAGTCTAGTCTATAGTCTAGTCTATAGTCTAGTCTATAGTCTAGTCTATAGTCTAGTCTATAGTCTAGTCTATAGTCTAGTCTATAGTCTAGTCTATAGTCTAGTCTATAGTCTAGTCTATAGTCTAGTCTATAGTCTAGTCTATAGTCTAGTCTAGTCTATAGTCTAGTCTATAGTCTAGTCTATAGTCTAGTCGATAGTCTAGTCTATAGTCTAGTCTATAGTCTAGTCTATAGTCTGGGCTGTAGTCTAGTCTATAGTCTAGTCTATATTCTAGTCTATAGTCTAGTCTAGTCTATAATCTAGTCTATAGTCTAGTCTATAGTATAGTATATAATCTATTCATTAGTTTTAGAGGAAGATAGAAAATGGTTGTTTGATTAGTGAATGTGTTACTAAGAATAGGAATCTAATTATTCTTAACTTGATACGACAATACAGTGTAAAATGACTACAATGCATTGTAAAAATAGCGACAATAAGTGTTCAAGGAGTTTATTAAACGATACAATTTTTCATATAAGCATTATTTGTTTTCAAAATTACTTACTGAACAATCATTCAATATACTCTTGCTGTCTGAACTTGTAACAGCTTCTCAAAAAGATAAAATCAGCAAACATGTGCGTCGAATTTCTCTTGGTATTACAAAAATACTATAAAATTGTTGATTTAATCATAAACATTTTTTTATTTGATTTTATCTTTTAAAATAAAACTGTATACATTTCACTTAAAATTAAAAAAAAAAAATGTTGTGAAAAAAAAAAAAAATAAAACATATTTTACTGTCATTTAGTTCATCACTCAAATCAAATATTTAACATGGGCTTGTGAATACGCAATTACAACATTCATTTCATTCATAATGTAAACAATTTTTACACCAGTCCTATTTTCATTACAAAAATAAAATAAATATTTAAACATTTCACACGGACACTCAAAAAAATAAGAAAAAAAATCATAAAAATATAAATTTATGACCAAACCAGCACATAAATTCTGGGATTTGTGAAATTGCTAACGAAAAGAATTTTTAAAGTTTTTTTATATATTTTATTTAAATTTTTATTGCTGCTTGGAGATTTCGTCATATTTGTTTGTTTTGTTTTTTTTTTCAGATTTTAATATTTCTTTGAGTGTAAATTTTTATTAGTTTACAGCAAAGCACTGCAAGCTAAAT